AAATAAATAAATAAAATTTCAATTTTACTTCAGAGCCACATGTATGTACCTTAAGAGCCACACATAGCTCTCAAGCCCCAGTTTGCCATCCCCTGGTCCAGTATATCATACTAGGAGATTGGGGATATAAAATATGGGATTGCCTACCTAGCCATTCTGACTCTCCAGGGTGATGAAGATGAAAGATGTCAGTGAACACACTTTGCAAGCTTCTATCCCTTTGGCTGAAGAGTACAGGTGGTGTAGTGGGTTAGGCGTTGAGCAGTTAACTGCAAGGCCAGCAGTTCAAAAACACTAGCTGCTCCCCAGGAGAAAGATGAGACTTTCTACTCCCAGAAAGTGTTACAGTCTCAGAAACTAACAGGGACAGTTCACTTCTGCCCTCCAGGGTTGCTATGACTAGGAATTGACTTAGTGGCAGTGAGGGTACCTTTGGCATTTAATCCCTGTCAACGACTACCCCTTATTCCTAAGATTTGTCACAGAGTTTATGCTTTGACCTTTTGTTGAGAATCTACATTTCCACTCCAGATTCCCAGAAGCAGAAACTGTCTACATTTCAGCAAGATTCTCAGGTGAGTTCTGGGGACCTTGTGAAACTGTAGATTCTGACTCAGATCTGGGGGCTAAAAGGCAACGTCTCAGCAGGGGTTTAAACGAAAATGAACTTCTTTGAAGCTCTGGGATCAGACCTGGTTTGGGTCTTGGCTAGTGTGGGATCCGAGGAAACAGGCCTAGAACTCCCTTACCTGCTAAGTTGGGGCATAGTCACAACTCTCCCTTCCTGTCTCAGAGAGAACTGCAAAGGCTAGTGCTTATGGGTTGAAGCACGGCGTTCAAAGAGATAGGCTGAAGTCCTAACCCTTGTACCTGTGAATCATCTCATTTGGAACTAGGGTCTTTGTAGATTTACTTAGTTAACATGAGTGCTAATTTAAATGGCATCCTTATAAAAAGGGAAAAGACAGAAAGCCACAGTACAGACAGAGGTAAAGATTATAGCAATGCATCTACAAGCTGAAGCATACTACAGATTGCCAAGGACCATCACCAGAAGCTAGGAAGAGGCGAGGGAGGAACTTCCTTAGCGCCTTCCTGGCCCTGCTGGCACCTTGATGTTGGATGGCTAACGTCCAGAGCTGTGACGCAGTGACCTTTTCTTGTTCTGAGCACCCAGCTTATGGTCCTCCGTTATGGCAGCCATAGAAGGTGAACACACAGTTTGCTCTTATCTTTCGCAAGCACAGCCCTGTCAGTTCAACCTACTTCTAGAAAAGGGAGTATTGACTTCTTACATATTTTTCTAGTCTAACCAAATCAACCATAAATTAATAAAACCATGAGCGAAGGACAATAAACTGGTAGTTGACTGAGAATAAGTATAAGCCATTTGCTTAAATATCAATTAAATACATAAACTATATGTGTGCAAGTCATGTATTCCATAAAGATCCCCATGAAAGCTTCTGATTAATTTCAGAGGAAAATAGAAATAGGACCTCTTTCAAAGTTAGTAAGTATAATTGTGTGCTGATTACTGTAACTTACCACGCTGCTCTGCTAGCAGTTCATTTCCAACCCCTGCTCGATTATAAAACACACATTTCCTTGAGTCCGTGTTGACCTCTTGGAATCCCTCACACGTGTGTTTCCCAATCACGCTGTGGTTTGTATTGACCACCAGGTGGTCAAAAATGAACAGCGGCAAAGGAAAGAGCATGGAACCAGCCAACAATCGACTCATTGAGTCGTGGAGAGGAAAACCCTAAACCAAAGGCAGTGGTTCACAAAAGTCAGCGGGGGCAGCGCTCTTGGTAGGAAAAGGGCACCAGTGGGAAAAAGAGCAAAGCAAGAACAAGGTCCCGAGGGGAGCCAGGGAGGCGAACTCCGGCTCCCCAACGACAGGGACTGCCCTAGAACTCGGAGTTGCTCTTCCCCGAGACATAAGGAAGCGCAGGTGTGTGAGGAAGATGTGCTGGGAATTTTACCTGGTAAAATATTTAGAGGCCTCATCCAACCCTCATTTCCTGAGAAAGAAACAGAAGGCAAGCGGGAAGCTTTCACAGGACTCATCTGGGCAGTGGCAGTTCAGTGGTAGAACTCTTGCTGGAGACCCGGGGTTGAGGACGCTGAACAGGCTTCAATGGAGTTTTCATCCAAGATGAACCAGGAAGGAAAACCTTCCAATCTCCTGCTGTAGATCAGCTAGGGCATCACCATGGCTCATAATGATGTGACCTCCCATCTGTCTTGGGGCCCCAGTCTAGGCTGGGGCTGAGCCTGGGACAGGGGCTGGGGCAGGGGCTGGGGCTGAGGCTAGGGCTGGAGTAGCTATTGTAAGATCTGAGCTCCCAGGAGGGAATTCAAGGAAGGAGCAAGGCAGCACGGAGCCGGGAAAGGAGACGAGAAAGCCCACGGATGAGTTATGAGTCAACAAGATAATGAGGAACACAATCAGTCACCAGCCAATGTGGCGATCACTTTCCTCAGCCCAATTCTTTCCCGGGAATTTGGCCTGGCACCAACCTGGTGCTAAGGCTGCTGCAGAGGTGAATGGGGGGGAGGGGGGAGGAGGGGAAGGGCAGGCCCCACCCACCGCTCCTGTCCGCTCCATTGCCGCCAAGATGGCTGACCAGAGCCTGTGTTTGAGACACTCGCCTCCTTCAGTGCCGGTGTCCTCTCACCTCCCAGGTTCCGCCTGCTCGTTTGCCTTTGCTCCTCCCTCAGGGCAAGGCCACACACTGAACACCTTCTTGGGCCAGCTGCCGTTGAAGTGGGTGCCCAGACGTTCAACAGGCTGCTTTTCGGGACAAATGACCCAGGAGGAGCAAGACATGAGGACAAGCGGAACATGTGGAGCCGGGAGTTAGGAGCCTGAAGCTCCAATTCCTCCCCTTTAACTAGCTGAAACCCTGGCAGATCCCTGCATGTCGTTGGGCCTTTTGGTAGTTACATGATCTGTTGTCAATTTGAGACTATGAAGAGTGAAGGGGTGGAGTTGAGTCTGTCAATCAGGTCGCACCTTGGTGACTGCATTTGGAGGTACTACGGAGATAAATAGCTCACTGGAGGTGGGACACATGCTCACTCCCTACGAGACATTCCTGTTGACAAGACTCCTGGTGCTATGCTAGAGCCCTGGAGCTGGAGGAGCCACATGGAGACTCACACCACTGCTGAGATGCCTCTACTGCCACTGGATCCAAAAGAGTTTCCACCCATTGGCCTGTGATCTTCCTGCATTCAGCATCATTGCATGTATTACGTCCATCTGAAGAGGAATTTATAGATTGGGATCGGACATATGGGCTAATATCGGACTTATGGGATGTTTTCTCAATATACAATTGCTCTTTGATATAAAGCTCTTTCCTAGACACATGTGAGTGTCTATGAATTTGATTCTCTAGTCCACCGGGACTAACACAGGCCTCAACTTCCTCATCTGAAAAGTGGGCACCCCAGGGGATGCTGAGCCCTCCCCGCATCCACCTTGGTCTACTGGGATGCCTGCACAACGGTGAGGGGGCCCTAAGTCTCAGCAACAGAACAGAGTTAGCCACCTTTCCTTGTCCTGCAAAGTGGACACTGGGCAGGCTGCTCAGGAAGGGCCTTGTAACGTCTGAATCCCTGTTTCTGTAGGGCCTTGTTACTCTGGGGGCGGTGTTTGGACCTGCCACAGAAGCATCTCCCAGACCTCCACTGCAAATCTACAGACGCACTGCAAATCTACAGACGCGGAATCTGCCTCTTCAACACCATCCCCAGGTGACCCTATTTTTAGTAGTGCTGCGGTAATGATTGGCTGTCAGCTTTGAAGGGGTAATAATGGTGTTTGCAAATGGCTTGAGGAGGTGGAGAACGAGGGTCCTCTTGGCACTAGATCTTCAGAAAGGCCAGTGGGTTTGGTGTGGAGGCTGGGGAGGCTCGCAGGTGGAAAGCCAGGGGACTTTGGGATCCAACCAACAGGAGGACAAAGTGAGGCTTCGCTACTGCAAATCTGGGTGATCCCAGACATGTCCCTGAAGCCCCGGGACCGTCTGCAGGCATCACTTCAGATACAAGGATCAGCACAAAGTCAGTTCCCAAGGCACAGCTCAAATACAGTCCACATTTCCACATTTCCCTACTCTCCTCAGCACTCTTCCTTCCCAGGTTTGGACCTGGCAGTTCACTGCAACACCTCGCAGAACTCACAAACTGTCCTCGCAGTGAGCGGCATCTTAAGGAACACGGCATAACTCAGTCTCAGGGTCAGCAGGCTAGCCGGCCGGATCTAGATCAGGAAGCCCGTAGGCAAAGTCTCTTGTCTTCAGAGCAGGATGGCTCTCTCAGCTGCTCCTGGCCATGTGGTCCTCCTCCTGCTCCCCCTCAGGACAGGCTCCTCGCCACCAGCCCAGGGCCCAGGACAGGCCTGCTGTCTCGGGCTGTAGGCCATTTCCAGGATTCCTGATGCCGTCCAAGGGCTACACACCTTGCCCATCTGACAGCTCTTTCAGGGACTTCCTTGCCTCCCCCCCATCTGCTGCTTCTCTCCTTTCTTCCTGCGGCTTCTTTCTGTCTCTCAAACCTAGGGGAGTGGGGCCTGGCTGCCCACGTGTGCACACCTGCCTGACAGCTTCAAGGCAGGGCTTTGGGATGGGGCACAATCTGACCAAGCTCCTCTCAGTAGGCCACAGATCTTGATTCATCTCACCTTGGTTTCTGGGGTAGAAAATTAGGGCAAAGTTAACTTCTCAGGGGTTTTTTTTTGAGGGCATAGGGGTTGGGGTGGGGTAGCTGTAATCTCTCAAGTTGTTTTTCCTAAGGATTAAGGCCACATGAAAAGTTCATTTCACCACAGTCTCGTTTCCTGATCTGCCACTCCTGGCTCGGCATTTCCGCAGCTAGGTTTCACTGACCAGGCCACGGGCACCTGAGCCCCCAGCATGCTCTGTGAAGGGGGAGCCCTGAATGGAAAGCAGGAACAAAAATAGAAACATATACCCCGATGCGCATGGCAGCCCCGTTCACCACAGCGAAGATGGAAACCACCACAGTGCACATCAGCAGATGAGTGCCCAAGGGGAATGTGCAACCGACACACAACGGAGAGCCACTCGGCTGTAAGAGACCCAGCATCTGGATAGATCCCTATCACAACATGGTTACACCTCGAAATATTCCCACTCAAGCTCACTGCCAGCGAGTCAATTCTGATTCATAGTGACCTTACAGGACAGAGTAGACCTGCCCCCTTGGGCTTCAGGGACTTTAAGTCTTTACAGGAGTAGACAGCCTCTTCTTCCTCCCTCAGAGGCAGCTGTGGCGAGTGGCTGAATCCACAGGACCCCCAATGCTCTTGGAAACCATCCTGTTGTGTGAAGCAAGTCGGTCACAGAAGGGCAGAGGCTGTATAATCCCACGTACGGGAGCTAAGTAATTTTATCGGAATCAAAGCCTATTCGTGATGGCCAGGGGTGGAAGGAAAAGGGCAAGGGGGAGTTCTGCAGAGGGGGCATTACGTTGATGATAAGGGTGGAAGAATGAGTTGGAAAAGGATTTTGATCAGGGTTGCAAAATACGAAGTGTGTAATCAGTGTCACTGCGTTTACATGCACAAATCATGGAATGCACAGGTGTTTTTCTGGGGTGTATATTTTCACAGTAGAAAGAACAGAACAAAACCAGAAAGCCAGGAGCCCTTGCTCGGGGCTGCGGCTCTCCTTAGGGCTACAGGAGTCAGGGGGACCCACTGAGGTGACTCCAGGGTCTTGGGCTGGTGGGCCATCCCATCAGGTGGAGTTTGTGGTGGGGGACCCCTATCCCGGGCACTCCCTTACCAGCGCTCCACTACTGAGCAGGATCATGAAGATGATGAAGCTCTCGAACCAGCTGTGCTCCACGATGCGGTAGCAGGTCTTTCGCAGCTGCCAGCCGACGCCCCACGGAGCCTTGGCAATGTCCACTCTGCAGCAGGGACAGCGGCGCATGCAGCCTGTGGTGGGAGGAGGAGGATGGCGGGTGGTCCCATCGGGGACAGGGGACCATTCCTGTGCCAGCCCTGCGTCTACTCTGCTGGGAAACCCACTCTGCAGTCTTCTGGAAAGAACTCCTTCCCTGATATATGCGAGAAGCTCGCCTTCCAAGGGCTCTTCTCTGTCACTTCTCCGTCCTCCTTACACAGGGCACCACTGGTCTCAGCCCTACGCCTGCCCATCTCGCGTCACCTGGAAGCCTGAAAAACCATGTGGCACGAGCCTGGTGGTATCGGAGGAGCTATGACCTGAAGACGTGCAAGCGTGTTGGGCAATCAGATGGCTGGGACGGGGCCCGGGACAATAGCCAAGTAGAACTGGACGCCAGGTGGAGCTTCTTTGTTTTTAATGAGGGACAACCACCTTCACTGAGCCAGAGCTAGGTGCTTATCCAGTCACTGCCCAGCTACTTATTGAAGGCTTAGCATGGGCCTCCTGGCTCTAGACACTGGGGAAACTGAAGATGGGTAAGGTACAGGCTCTGCTTGTAAGAGTTCCACAGTGGGGTGAGTGGCGATACTGGGAGGGTAGAAGGAGGGTGGGTTGGCAAGGGGGAACCGATTACAAGGATCTACATGTGACCTCCTCCCTGGGGGAAGGACAGTAGAAAAGTGGGTGAGGGGAGAAGTCGGACAGGGCAAGATATGTCAAAATAATAATTTATAAATTATCAAGGGTTCATGAGGGAGGGGGGAAAATGAGGACCTGATGCCAGGGGCTTAAGTGGAGAGCAAATGTTTTGAGAATGATGAGGGCAACGCATGTACAATGCGCTTTACACAACTGATGTATGTATGGATTGTGATAGAGTTGTATGAGCCCTTAATAAAACTATTTGAAAAAAAAAAAAAAGAGTTCCGCAAACGATCAAGGGGAGTGGGTCCCCATTTACGTTCTCAGGAGCTGTCAGAGTGGCAACTCCCTTCTCCGTTTTCCTCCTCAAGGGACTGGTATATAGCTCAGTGGAGCACTTCTGGGGGTGATGCTGGGGCGTGTCACCCCCTTGATTGAGAAGGGGTGATGAGAAAACCTCTGTGAGGATGAGGTTCACACCATTAGGCACCTGGGTGGATCACTGGACCCCTCTCAGAGTGGAGGGCTGGACACTTTCATTTGACCTTGGACCCCCTTGAGTCCTGGGGACAGGCAGCAAGACATCCTATTTGTATGTCCCCTGCGGCTGCCCCCACCGGCCTTCCGGATGGCAGATGCAGCTAGGCAAGACCGTGTGGAGGTACAGTCGATGAGGGGGTCTGCTGCGGCCACTGTACCTTCTGTGAAGCAGTCCTCTGGCTCTTCCAGGTCATCCGCCAGCTCAGGGATCTTCCTCAGAATCTCCTCAGGATCCGGGAAGTCCACCGTGCTGCCCTCGGAGGAGCTGGTGTCTCCCATTGCCTGCAGGACAGAAGCCCAGGGTAGTGAACTCAGCTCTATAGGGAGGGCCCAGCGGCCCTGCAAAAGCACCCACAGGTTGGGACATCCAGGAGCTCCAAGGGGCAGGGGAGCCCCCTGGGCCTGGGACCCATGGCGGAGGCCTCCCTGGCATTCTTGGTGCCTGGCCAGCTGAGGCCCGGAAGAAGGATGCTCTCTGTAGAGGCCCAGAGGTTCAGCTGTGAGAGGCTTCAAACCCCACAGGTCTCTGATGGAGCGCTGGTGATGGCCAGAGACACCGTAATTACACCCATAAAGACACTCAGCATTCTATGGGCTTGAATATTTAATCATAGAGCAGCGCTGTGGGGACCTGCTACCCTCCCAGCAGCTCCAGCCCTGTAATGTCTCCAAATGAATTCAATTAGGAGTTGAAGCTCCTCTCCTATTAGTAAACCTGATAGCCTCACTAATGGACCCAAAGGGCAGGGTGGGTCCCCATCTGTTGCTGCCAGGCCCCTCCCTACCGGTCCAGGGTCATGGATCAGAAACAAAAACAAAATTCAACACCACCCTGCAGTTATGCACTGAAAACATTGAGCTGAGAAAGCTAGCCAGGGGAGTCCTTAGAAAGCTTCAAAGGAAGCATGATGGACATCATGTGGAATGCGGCAACACTTGTCCACCAAGACCAAGCCCCATCTCAGCCACCCTGTTAGCTTACTCTGCTCTGGCCATGCAGGAGCCAACATTTCTCAAGTTGACAGACTTAAGGACTTACTCTTCCTTACCTCAGTTGAAGGGGCCCAGGTTGCACACTGGTTAAGTACTTGGCTGCTAACGGAAAGGTCAGTTGTTCAAACCCACCATCCTCAGGGGGAGAAAGATGTAGCATAAAGATTTAGCCTCATCAAAATGGGTGCATAAGCAAATGTGATGAAGAAAGCTGATGGTCCAGCAATGAAAAGATATAGGATCTGGGGTCTTAAAGGCTTGAAGTTAAATAAGTGGCCATCTAGCTGAGAAACAGCAAAGCCCACATGGATGAAGCATGCCCACCTGTGTGATCATAAGGTGTGGACCGGAACAAAATAAGCACTTAAATTAATGTGAAGGACCATGGACAAGTGGAGACACCAAACCTACCTGTAAGATAATTGGGCAGTCCCTTTCAGAAGGGCCACATGGAAGGAATGATGTATCCAGGTACAGCTACTGATAAAACACGTAACTATCCTTTAATTCTTTATTATTTCCTCCCCCCCCACTATTACGGCCTTAGTTCTGCCTCACTAATCTGTGCATGTACACTTGTCCAATCAAGATCTGTTGATTCATGAAATCCAAGATAGATGAACCCCTCAGGAACAGTAATGGGAGTAAAGATTCCCTGAGGGCATGGGAAGAGAGGGTGGGGAAGAAAGAAGGGAAACTGATAGCAATGGTGAATGTATAACCCCCTTTGAGGGGAACGAATATCAGAATTGTAGGTGAATGGGTACTTTGGATAGTGTAAGATATGGCAATAATAATGATAATAATAATCTGTAATCTATTAAAGGTCCATGGGGGTGGTAGGGTGGGGGAAGGTAGGAGATAAAGGGGAACTGATTTCAAAGAGTTCAAGAAGAAAGAACATGTACTGACAGATAGGAACTGAAAATACAGGGAATCCCGGGCAGATGAGTCCTACAGGACCAGAGGTGTGAGTGGCGAAACAGGGAGGGTAGAGGGAGAGTGGGTAGGAAAGAGGGAACCGATTACAAGGAACTATATGTGACCT